GCTTCTCCGGCTATGCTGAGGCCGCGTCCCACATACAGCAACTAGAAGGATGTGCAACTATGACATACAACTATCTACTGGGGCTTTGGGGAAAAAAAAAAAGGAGGAGGATTGGCAATAGACCTTAGGTCAGAGCCGGTCTTCCTCAGCAAAAAAAAAGAGGAGGATTAGCATGGATGTTAGCTCAGGGCTGATCTTCCTCACAAAAAAAAAAAAAAAGGAAAGGGTAGCATTGTTAATGCTGGGAGAGATATAGTAGGAAGCTGTATTCTAGAAATGGGTCTTAATTTGTAAGAGGGAGCTCTCCTCAACTAGAAATAGGATTATATATTTTAAAATTAGCAAGTGAAAGGAAGTGACCAGATAATGCCAGGAGAATTATTAATTATTTAAGACTCGAAATGTGCTTTGTGAACTTAAACTACTTGAATTCTCCGTGGCTTCTGGAAGGAAGGGTTGTACTCCGTTTGGAAGAAGAGAGGGCAAAATATGTTGGTATAGTGTATCTGGTGACGATGTGATAGGCTTGTAAATCTTCATATTGGGTTTTAAATTCCACAGCCTTAGTTTTTCGTTTGGTGGCACCGAAGGGAGTTAACAGGATGAGCTCCAAAGGAGTGCCGATTTACTGTAGAACTTTCCGTGTTAGAAGCAATAGAAGCTGGGGAGTTTTACCAGTAACCTTTGGGAACTGCTCTGTCTTCCTGCCAGAGGCCCTTACAAGCAGCTGATTCTCCACTGAAGAGAGGAAGTCATAGGAAACAGCAAAGGAGCCAGTTTGAACTTGGTGGTCGTTGGTTGGTAGGAGGTGCCTAGATGGCAGAACTAAAATCTTTAGGTGGAAATTAAAGAAAAGTGGATTTCAAATCAGTGTAAAGAATGACTTGACAATAGCCAAGACCAGCAAAAAGGGAAAGCTATTTTGTGAGGCAGAGGTTTTTGTCATTACAGATATTAAAGGAAGTTTAGAGTGGCCTTTTTGGGGAAATATTCTAGGGTAGGGATCAGCAAACTTTTCCTGTAAAGGGTCAGATAGTAAATATTTTAGGCTTTTTGGCCCTGTGGCCTTTGTTGCAACTGCTCAGCTCTGCCCTTGTAGTGCAAAGGCGACCAAAGGCAGTATGTGAACAGAGGGGCCTGGCTGTTGTCTTAGGCTGCTCGGGCTGCCATGACAGAGTACCATAGACGGAGTGGCTTCAACAGCAGAAATTGATTTCTCAGAGTTCTGGGAGCTAGGAAGTCCAAGGTCAAGGTGCTGGCTGATTAAGTTTGCGGTCAGGGCTCTCTTCCTGGCTGGCAGATGCCACCTTTCTTGCTGTGTCCTCACATGATGGGGGTGGGGTGGGGAGAGAAAGAAAGGTAGATAGATAGGTAGATCTCTTCCTCTTCCTCTTCTTTTTTTTTTTTGTGAGGAAGATCAGCCCTGAGCTAACATCCATGCTAATCCTCCTCTTTTTTTTTGCTGAGGAAGACCGGCTCTGACCTAAGGTCTATTGCCAATCCTCCTCCTTTTTTTCCCCAAAGCCCCAGTAGATAGTTGTATGTCATAGTTGCACATCCTTCTAGTTGCTGTATGTGGGATGCCACCTCAGCGTGGCCAGAGAAGTGGTGCGTCGGTGCGTGCCCGGGATCCAAACCCGGGCTGCCAGTAGCAGAGTGTGCGCACTTAACTGCCAAGCCACAGGGCCGGCCCCAATCTCTTCCTCTTCTTATAAGGCCACAGTCCTGTCAGATTAGGGTACCACCCTTATGACCTCATTTATCTTAATTACCTCAAGATCTTTTCTCCAAATATAATCACATTGGGGATTAGGGCTTCAACATATTAATTTTTTGTGGGGGGTAGGGGGGAGACACAGTTCAGTCCATAATAGCTGTGCTCCAATAAAATTTTATTTATAAAAATAGGAGGTAGGCCAGATTTGGCCCAAGGACCATAGTTGGCCAGCCTAAGGTCTAGAGGGAATCAGACATCACCAGAAAGTAGGCTAGGTGAGCCTTCAGCATACTTCTAGTGTGAAAGTTCTATGAATCTGTGCTGTTGTGCTTGAAGACTCAGCCAAAAGACATATTTGATGTCGATCAGAGCTCGATGTCGGTAGAACAAATGCTCCCCTATGTAATAAGACCCCCTCACCACCGTAAAAATCTTGAGCACCACTAAAAGATGGTTTTGGGGAAATTGTTTGGGTGAAATGGGCATAACTTAGGGGTTAAGTGTACAGTGTCTGGTTTAAGACTGTCTTGGTTCATATCCAAGCTCTGCCACTTAACTAGCTGTGTGACATTGGGCAAGTTACCTAACTTCTCTATGCCTCAGTTTTCTCATCTCATATGAAATGATGATAATAGAATTTACCTTATAGCCATGTTGTGATGCTTAAGTAAGTTAATACGTGTTGCGAGCATAAAACAATGCCTAGCTCGTCGTAAGGTCTTGATAAATGTTATCTATTATTATTTGTTGAAATAAGAGACAGTAAGGGAAGCCAGAGGGAATATGATAGGGAGCTAAAGGACACGTAACTGTCAAAGATTTAGGGATATTTTAGAAAATAAATAGCTTTGAATAAGATTGGAGTGTGTGATTCTATTTAAATACAATAAAAATGCCGTAAAGGGAAAACTGAGAGACTTACTGTATACTTGGTAGGAGAAAAGTATCTTTATCAAAAAGATGTGGTTGTCTTGGTATGTTTCGTTGTTTCTTAGGAAAACTTGGAGGCTATGGGTGGGTAAACTGCAAAATTGGCTGGGTCAGAACAAACCTGATTCAGGGCTCATTGACTAGTGTTCCTAAGTATGAATCATTCAATAAATAAAAACAGTTCTTAAGTCCTGGATTAGTTTTACTTCCGTGTGCATGAAAGCCATCTGTCCTTCTGGCTGGTGTGAGGTGCAGATGCTGAGATGTGGTGTGGCCGTCTTGAGGACAGGTCTCCTGTGCGTCTACATTTGTAAGGAATGCTAGGTGCTAAGTCTTTGGTCATTGATCAGCACACAAACTTATCTTTTCTTTCTTTTGCAGTAAAGCCATGATTATCAGTCCCCTCCTTATTGTAGGAGAAGGGTCCCTAAGATATTTCTCAGCTGATAACCTTCTCCTGTCCCTTCTTCAGAGAGAAAAATAGAAGCCACTAAACAGGAACTCCCTCAGTTTCTTGCCATGAAGCATACAAACTTAAGTGCACCTGCACCAGTCGCTACTCTTCTCCTTTTGGTGACAGTAAAGAATGAGAACTTTCGTTGGTGGCTCTGACACACTGCCCATCCAGGCTTTTTGGGCACTTCATCTCTGGTTTCTCCTGTGTAACCTGAAAAATATGGGTCTGCTTTTCCACCCTGCCCTTGCCCAAAGCCTACCTTGACATATTGTCTTGTTAAAAACCCAGACCAGAGCCAGCCCAGATGGCCTAGTGGTTAAAGTTCGGTGTTCTCACTGCTGTGGCGGCCCGGGTTCATTTCCCAGTTGCAGAACCACACCACCTGTCTGTCAGTTGCTGTGCTGTGGCAGTGGCTCACATAGAGGAACTAGGAGGACTTACAACTAGAATACACAACCATGTACTGGGGCTTTGGGGAGGGAAAAAAAAAAAAGAGGAAGATGGGCAACAGATGTTAGCTCAGTGCGACTCTTTCCCTGCAGCAACAACAGAAAAGACATTTCTTAATTTAAAACAAACAAAAACACAAAGACAATTCTGGAGACGTTAAACAAACAATGTAAATTTAATGGATGATGGAGGGAGGGGTTGTATTGCACATAATATAAAACACTGCTTCAAAACCCTCTTGAAACGTTCTGCGCCATCCCCAGACTCCACACCCCGAGTCCCGTTCCTTAGCAGCTGCCTCTTCTTTCTTTTCTCCCCATCGCCTTCCTCTTAGCCTTGCTCCCTCTTCTTTCTCTTTTCCTCCTCTCCATTCCTGAGTTTTCCAGATGGCACTTCCCATCCCTTTGTGCACAGACAGAAATTTCGTGTCTCTGCTTCTTCCGTTTGCATCCTGGTATGTCACTGTGCTGGGGCCCCTAGTGATTTATTTTTAAAATGCAAATCTGATCATGCATCCTTTTTGATGAAAAATCCTCAGTGGCTCCCCACTGATCTAGAGTGAGGTTGCCAGACTCCACACACAAGCCAGCGTGAGCTGGACCTGCGTGCACCTCCGTCGTGCTGCTCGCCCTTGCTGGTTTCGTCACCGCTCAGGTCCTCGCTGTGGCATGGCTCTTTCTCATTGACGGCTCTTCACACTTGCTTTTGCAGGCCTGGAATACTTGGCGTCTTCCTCTAAACTTAGCTAAAGCGTCCTTCTGGGCTCAGCTAGATAGCTCACCCTCTGTAAGTTAGGTGTCCTTCCTTCTGGTGAATATTTTCTTGGAACAGCCTTTTGTTTCTCCCATCTTAGTGTTGTCACAATTTTGTACTCATCTTTATCTCGTTAGACCACTCATGAAGGCAGGGGCCATGTTTATCCTGGTCACTGTTTAATTCCCATCACTTAGCAAGGTCCGTGGCACATGGAAGGAGCTCAGTAAATACTTCTTGGGTAAATATGCTACGTTTAAAATACACCTCTTTTTTCACATTTGATTAATTCTAATACATCTAAGTTTATACTTTATCATATGGCTTAAAAATGCTCAGTATTTTTACTTTATGAAAAGGAACAGGCATGTATCAATCTTGGAAAATTTATGCCATCTTTTCATTTGTAATTTTCTATTTGTGCTCTACTTGTAAAGTTTTTATGACTTATGATGGTAACATTTTTAGAGTAGAAGTATATATAAAATATATAATTTTGGTTCTTCTTTAGAATGAAGGATTAAATTCTAAAGATCAAAAGAGAATGTCTATGTACTTTTTATCATGACAGCACTTGTGAAACACTTACTAGTTCAGAAGCTGCTTTGGCCTTTTCTTCAATGAATCCTAAGGCGTGAGCGATAATGCTTAGCATGTTATATATATATGTTTTTTCTTCTCTTTATGCCGTAGATAACCGTGCCCAGGAGTGGAATCTTGAAATAGAGTCTTCTTTTGATGTTGTCAGCTCAAAGCCAGTTTATGGTCAAGTGATTGTAGCCCTCCCTAAACTGCAAACACAGCAGACGCACAGCATTGACCTTCAGCCTGGGGAGAGGATTGTTGAGCTCTTTGTGAAAATTAACAAGGTGAATGATGGCACTTCCTGAGAAGTACTAGATGAAAAGCAATGCTGTTCAAAAGAAATGGTTAGAAAGAATGGACTGAGTATGAAAGAAAAATGTAGTTTTTCCATTTTCTCCTTCACTTTTAACGTATCATATATTTTTTGTGTGTGTGAGCTAAGGAATGATTTTCCCAAATTTTAAGATTAAGAAAATGGAGAATATGTGATTAATTTGGCGTCCTTTCCTCCCAAGAAGTCAGGTGTGTTATATTTTAATCTTTCTGCAGTATTTGCAGTATCCTAAATCCAAAATGCATTCTAAGCATTATATTTAAATACAGTGAATATTTTTGGTACCTGTAAATTATTTTGAACATTGGTGCTTATTCTACACACAGAATTCTAATTCTAAACTCCTCTTTCCTGGGTAGGCATGGGCTGGATTTTACTTTTTCTTTGTCTTTCTTTTTATTCTTCTAATTGATAATTGTGGACTGAAAAGGTTGGAGCAAGTTAACGTTCAGTAACTGTTCAGATAAAGTAAAAACTCAAAGGGTTTCTAGTTTTGGGCTTGAAAGAAGAGTCAGTCTCATAGTCCCGTTCTGCATGTTGAGAATGAGGAATAAATGCAAGTTTGAGTGTTACAAATGGGAAGAGTTGTGTTTCTGAATATCTGTGTTGTTCTGTTCTTTCCCTTCTCTTTTGGTATATTAATATGCTAAAACCTAGCATGTTGATTTTTAAATATTATCTATGGATTGGTACAGTTTGGCATGATACAGGGAGCGAGATTTATATTGTCTTAGAAACTAGAATGTCTGTGCTTGACTCTGAAAAATTGATATAATGCTCTGAATCACTATACTATTTTGCTGAAAATATGCCACAGATTTCTTAGAATGACTTATATTATTTTTTAAAAGAATATTGCTGTAGAAACTTGGTGGCCTCATGGACATGGAAACCAGACTGGGTACAACATGACAATTCTTTTTAAACTGGATGGAGGCTTAAGTATTGAAAAATCAGCTAAGGTAAGCAAATACTTTAAAATATTTTGTGAAAAAAAATATATTTCTTATCAAAATAGCAATACAGATCTTTGTAGGAAAAGAAGAAACCAATAAAGCTCCTGTAACCCCACTACTCAGAGATAATCACTAGTAACAGTTATATGCATTCAAAAGCTTCTGTGTGTGTGTGCGCACGTACGTGTGTATGTATGTATTTATTTTTATGGAGGTCACATTGGTTTATAACATATAAAGTTCAGGTGTACATCATTATATTTCAGCTTCTGTATAGACTGCATCATGTTCACCACCAAAAGTCTAGTTGCCATCCATCACCGTACACATGTGCCCCTTTACCCCTTTCACCTTCCCCCACCCCCTTCCCCTCTGATAATGACTAATCCATTCTCTGTATCTATGTGTTTGTTTGCTTATCTTCCACATATGAGTGAGGTCGTATGGTATTTGTCTTTCTCTGTCTGACTTACTTTGCTTAGCAAAATACCCTCAAGGTCCATCCATGTTGTCGCAAATGGCAAGATTTCATCTCTTTTTTTGGCTGAGTAGTATTCCATTGTGTATATTTATAGGTAGATATATTTATATCTATATATATATCTGTACCACGTCTTCTTTATCCATTCCTCTGTTGATGGGCATATAGGTTGTTTCCAAGTCTTGGCTATGGTGAATGTTGCTGCAGTGAACGTAGGGGTGCATAAATCTCTTCGAACTGTTGATTTCATGTGTTTTGGATAAATACCCAGAAGCGGAATAGCTGGATCTTATGGTAGTTCTATTTTTAATGTTTTGAGGAATCTCCATACTTTTTTTCAATGTGGCTGCACCAGTTTACATTCCCACCAGCAGTGTATGAGGGTTCCTTTTCTCCACATCCTCTCCAATACTTGTTATTTCTTGTCTTGGTAATTATAGCCATTCTGACGGGAGTGAGGTGATATCTCATTGTAGTTTTGATTTGCATTTCCCTAATAATTAGTGATGTTGAACATCTTTTTATGTGCCTATTGGCCATCTGTGTATCTTCTTTGGAAAAATGTCTGTTCAGATCCTCTGCCCATTTTTTAATCAGGTTTTTTTTTTCTTTTTTGTGTTTTTCTGTTACCAATCCTCGTTTTTTTCCCCCCAAAGCCCCAGTAGATAGTTGTATGTCATAGTTGCACATCCTTCTAGTTGCCATATGTGGGATGTGGCCTCAGCATGGCCGGAGAAGTGGTGCATTGGTGCGCGCCCGGGATCCGAACCTGAGCCACCAGTAGCGGAGCGCACGCACTTAACCACTAAGCCATGGGGCCGGCCCAGGTTGTTTGTTTTTTGTTGTTGAGCTGTATGAGTTTTTTTATATATTTTGGATATTAACCCTGTTTCTGATATATGATTTGCAAGTGTCTTTTCTCAATTGGCAGGTTGTTTTGTTGATGATATCTTTTGGCGTTCAGAAGCTTTTTAGTTTGATGTAGTCCCATTTGTTTATTTTTTCTTTTGTTTCTCTTGCCCGAGGAGTCATGATATTCAAAAAGATACTGCTAAGACCAATGTCAGAGAGCATACAGCCTATGTTTTCTTTTAAGAGTTTTATAGTTTCAGGTTGTACATTCAAGTCTTTAATCCATTTTGAGTTGATTTTTGTGAATGGTGTAAGATAATGGTCTCCTTTCATTCTTTTGCATGTGGCTGTCCAGTTTTCCCAACACCATTTGTTGAAGAGACTTTCCTTTCTCCATTGTATGTTCTTGGCTCCTTTGTCAAAGATTAGCTGTCCATAGATGTGTGGGTTTATTTCTGGGCTTTCGATTCTAT